CGTCCCTTCTTGAAGTCTCGGGAGTTTACTAGATTTCGGTATTCTTGTACATATAAGACGGTCAAGACGTGACGGCAAGAATGGGTAATTGAACTGCGGACAGAGAGAGAGACGTGTTGTTGAGCACGTGAGACGTTCGTTGTGAATTATAGCGTGACTGTGGAAATTAAGTGTATTGCAAAGTTGTATTTAGAAAGAATAAACCAGTTTTATTTAAGAAAGGACTTGTATCGCTAAAGTTTCTTCAGAAAGAAATTATACGGAAAATTAACTAACGACCGGAGGCATAACAGTATATTATTCCATAAACTGTAATAAGGCATATGATAAATAAGCCCTATCCATGTATCAGATATTTTAAGATTTACTTTTTACAACAGTTTATACGTTTATTACTAAGGTAGTAATTCAGATTTTTATAAATGGTGCTTTTGGGGCACTACATATCTTGTGTTAACATTGTTACGTCTCCCCTGTGTTGATTAACTTTCCGTAACTTCGTTCCAACGAAACTTTAGCGACACAAGTCCTTACTTAATAAAACTGGTTTATTCTTTCCGAATATAACTTTACGATACACTTAATTTCAATAATCGCGCTAAAACAAACGCTATAACAACGAACGTGTTCAATAATACTCTCTGACTGCAGATCAATTACTCTCTGTCTACACACACATTATTGCGTCACGTTGTCACCCTCTTATATATATACCAGACTACCCTATCTAGTAAATGCTAGGGCATTCATGAAGGAAAAAGATAGTTCTAGAAACGTGGCGTCACACTAGTCACGTGACCTCGCTGACGCAACAATATTTAAAATACGGTTTATACTGCTGAAAGAACAGTCGAAAACAACACCACCATCAGGCATTCAGTTAGTTTTTAAGACTGTCGTAACTAATGTTTGCTTTTCACAAGTAATGCACAATATTTTTATCTTGATCTTCTTGCTCATTGCAGTGTATTTGAAGGAGATCAAGTCAGCCCACACGGCATTAGCATCAGTTCATCAAAGAAGCTACATCCCCTCCTAACATCATCATATGTCAAACTGCACATTGATTGGAGCGTTTAGAAGGAAACACATGCGTTGATAAAAGAGACTGTTTGATCATTGAATCGGTGCTTCATTTGCTCAATCATAGTGTCAACAGATTTTTAACGTTTTTGAAGGTTTACTTTAAAGTTTTCTTTACTTAAAAGGGCAAGCTGAGCCCTATATCTTTCATATGTGCTATCGTCGACGCCACAAGCTGAAGAACTAACGACAGGTTTAGGTTCTCTCTTTTTTTAAACTTTGCTAAGATTAGATACTGCACATAAAGCTTCATTCAAAACTGCTATGGTAACAAGAAAACTAGATTTCTCTATTTCCAGCAAGATACTTCCCACTAACGATGTCAAATCTGCACCATCTTTGTGTAGGTGCTCACAGGCCATCATGACTGAGCAGTATCAAGTTAAGACAACATGAACAGATTTGTAATTACTAAGCCAGCACACTTCGACTGATTCTGGAATTTTTAGTTTATGTTCTTCCAATGGCCCCTGAACCTGAAGCAACACGCCTACACACTTTGATGTACTGTGGAATAGTGAATATATGTCTTTGATAACATGAAGAACTTTCTTCACGGACACGATTATATTTCTGGCATTGGTTAAGGCTCGAAACAAAATATGAGCCTTACAGTGTACATAAGGAATTCTCCTTCCTGCTTTCTCTGAAAGTCGCTTATGCACGCTACTTATATTTCCCGAAAAATTGGCGGCACCATCGAAAGTGCAAGAAATTGTTTTCTTATAATCCAGGTTCCTTTTCATCAGCTCTGTCAAATGGACTCATAATGGTTTTGGAATCAGCGCTTGCTAGATCAGTAATACTCAATGATATTTATTTTTCTTCACCCCAGTCAGTCATGTAGCGAATCAAAATTGACAACTGGCTCACACTGTTGATGCCTGATGATTTGTCAGCCATTAGAGAGTGATATTTTTTATTCAATTCTGAGGTGTCACAATCATCTGGAACTTCAACAATGCAGGTCAACTGTAGCTTTCTTGCGTATGTCAAACAGTCACTCTGATTTTCCACCCATTGCTTCAGAGAGTCGTATTGTAGCATAAGAAGATGAGAAATCAAATGTTCATACTTCGTAGTGTATGGGATTTCTTCTTTTGCTAAGAAGTACATGATTCTCACAAATGCAGCCATTGCTTCCATGTTGCGACTAAATTCCTGAGTCGACTGTTGAAAAAGTAAAGTATGACCCTCGTCACGAAGCTTATGCATTGTTTGAGCATGAGCATATTTTCTGGATTCAGAATGTTTGTCGAACTTTTCGGTATTTCCAGTTGCTAAAATTGATAAATTTAGTTATGAAAACACCGTCCATTCTATGTAGTGGATTGAATCATTTTTCAAAAATTATCAGCAGTGCTTACAAAACGCCTCTCCAAGGGATATATAAAAAAGCAGCCATTCATATTTCTCTTCTTATCCAAAGTCGATGAAAAGGGAGAGGAAGTTGCAGCAGCAGGAGTTGACGAATCAACGTCACAAGTTCCAAGACTCAGTAGCTTAACCTCAGTTTGAGCCAGAGACTCAGCATCAGCACCACTACTCACTATCTGTAGTCTAAGCTTCTTTGTAACAAACTGTAGAATTAATTTCTGCAGCATACTTCACCACAGAAAAGTTCAAATCACAAAGTTTAACCACAATGTTATATAAAGCACAAAACAACAAATAAACGAAAAAACAATGCCATACAAATAGTTTTCTCATAGGCTTATAAAGTATGAACCGTTTTTCTAGAAACGTCAACACGTCTGACAGTATCTACACACTTCAAAAAATGTGAAAAATGTTTGGTAATAAGTCTATACTTAGCTTATACAATATAATACTAATTCTAGATTCTTAGATATAAGTCCCTCCTTTTCGCGATTCATAATGGCTAGTTGTCAAGGTCAAACACATCTTTCTTCGAGAAGTCACCAAAATTTTGCGTTATTCAGAATGTTTAATTGTTGGGTCCAGGTGTTCGATGAAATAATAGAAAATCCTGACTCATGCGTCACGATTTTCATTCGGTTGTTAGAGTTTCTCTTTCTCTGTAAGAAAGGAAAAACAATAACGTCTGTAAAAAACACAAAATAGTTAAAATATTTAGGGTGATTTTTTATTTTTTTTTGCACAGGGGCAGTCTCTCTGTACACTCCCTGAATTCAACACTGACTACGTGATATGCTTTTAAGTTTTCAAACGTAAAATCTGTGGGAAGTAAAATCTTAAACAAAATTAATATGTTGTAGTTTTTTGGAAAAAGCTTATTGACAAATTAGTTAATAATGTTTCTATGTATAATAAAATTGGTCTGTTTAATTTCAAGTAACTATTAAAAACTGCTTTTGTTAGATTTTTTATGGGGATATGATATTTTCAGTGTTTAAAGCTAATACTTTGGTAAATTAATTATTAATATAAGAAATATCGGAAAGATGTTGTTCGCTAAGCTCCTTTTTAGGTTAATCGTTTTTGCACGTCATGCAGCATCAAACAGTGTATTTTCAAACTGTTTCTGTATTTTTACGGATTGTTTCAAAATAATCTTAATAATCCAGTCCTTATATTCTGCCTATTTCCGATAGCATATTGTCATAGAGTGCGCTGAATTATTCGAGTCGTATGTTTCATTTTTAATACTAATGCTGTTAGAATCTATTTGTTGTAATTACATACAGAATACCAACTAGCACGTGTTTTTTTCAAGCCATCGTTTGTAACTTGAAATAAAAATAGGTAATAACTTTTGGTATTTTTATGCATATAGTAGTACTAGTGACTGTCTCCAAACGTTATGATTATGAATTAATCCATATCATTGAAGAATAATTTATAGGCTTAGACCTTATGACATGTCTCGATTCTTCTCGACTGTCACGAAGGTTATCGGTCATTTACTAATAGTAATACCATAAATATAGAAAAAATACTTATGACAGTAGTGCCGTAATGGCGAGCGGTGTATGTTATAATTTTTGCCCGCGTTTGCTATAAATTGTAACTCCTAGCTATTAGTATTATTAAGTCTGAAAGCAAGGTGACACTACAGTACAAATAAAATTTAGATTTACTTTTTACATAACGATGAACTATAGCATCACGTCATAAGTCATAATGTCATTCAATGACTCATTGTCATTAATATGTGTATCATTAATAGTTGTAATTTGTGTGACACTGATAGTGACTCTTTTTCCTCTTATCGAGTTTTACTCTAGACAAAAAAAAAAAAAGAGAGAGAAAAACTTGCATGTTATTTTTAAGGAAATCATTAATTCCCATCTTAAAATGTAAATGCTTTTAAAGTGTCAGCTCCACTACTGCTAACACAGCAGATTATTTCATAAATCCAGTCACCCTGTTGACAAAATAAAATTGTCTCAACTGGAGCCTAGCCTATGTTTTTCAAAACCTTAAACTCGTATCCCTTCAACCTGTGGTCTTCAGAACATAGCACAAAGAAATCAGAGGATTTTATCTTATTGATTCCCAGGATAATCTTGTAACCTTCAGTAAGATCTCTTCTTACCCTCCTTTGAGACTCTCAAGAAAAAAATAAAGTAACCTAATCTATAGCATCTCAACCAACTATTATGTCTGTCATATTTGATATGGCCTGATGATATCTGATATTGAGCAAAAAGCCTTGTTGGCAATAGGTATAGCAGATATAGTGTGGTTACATATTTTTTACTTTCATTTTTTATTGCTAAAACCATTTCCAAAAGTCTGCATCTTTTCTTAGGTAATGAGACAAAAACCGTACACAGTATTCCAAGTGAAGTCTAACTAGTGATATGTATAGGAAGATACTGTAATTACCTAATCAGTATGTCTATAAATACACCTTAAAATTATTTTAGCTTTACTACTAGGAGTGGGTGTGCAGAGAGTCTTAAAGGGCCATATGGTCCCCTGTTATCTACCATAAAAATTCACTAATGTAGTATCAATGTTTTTGCTTTTACATTGACACTGGAGGACAAAGCAGAAAGTATTGGGATTACAAATGAGTAATTCATATTAGCTTTGTGAAGAAAGACAATTTCTCATTTAATTTTTCTTCTCAGTATAACACAACATGAAATCTATTAGTAAGCAATTTGAACTTTATACTTCATCATATCGAACCAGTTAAATACATCTATAAAGGTTTCCTTTAATATGAAATTTGAAATATGTATGTACAGTATGACACAATTGACAGTTTTTTAGTTGTTTTTTTTTAAGTTGAAGTAATGATGCCATTGCTCATAACAACGTAACATACAGACAGCAAGAAACCAGTTGATCCTTTAAGGCTATCCTTCAAAACCCACCTTTGTAGACTGATTTACCAAACCTTTCTTTTTTGTTCCTACATTACTCACTAGTCTAGGCTAATGTCATCTCATAAGTAAGACAAGACTTAGAAGTAGTAAGATTAAATGGAGTTTAATAAGAAATTTTAAACAAAAATATTAATCAGTTAAAAAAGATGAAGTATTCAATTAAATATGTACAAGTAAGTTTTGTGTTATGTTATATTGAAAAGAAAGAAAAATAATTGAATAACAAATTTGTATGAAAACAAGTGCTTGTGTATAATCTTAGTTCCCATTGTCATCAGAGATGAACAATAAATGTACATGATACACTGAACATTATTTCTATGTACCTTGTTGACCTTAAGATGTACATAATTTTGAAATATTAATTGTAAGAACTTATGGTTTAATTGTTAGACTAAAAAGCTATTTTATGGTATTGATTCATTATACTTTCATGAAAATCTGTTTAGCTTGATAACAATGAGCAAGATGGCAGAGGGCCATTTGTCTCACCAAATTCATCCCTTCTAGTCCAACAATGGAACTATGATGTACCTACCTCATAGTGTAATGAAATCTTTGAAATTTCCTGTTCAAAAGTTTCTCTGAATGTGTTGCAAGGATGTATGGCACCATCCCCCATGGTATTGGCAGATGTGCTTATAGTAATAATAATAATATTTTAGTACTCCGTACTATTTTACTGTTCATTACTCTTCTGAGATATCACAATTATAAATAATTTTATCTCTCTTTGTTTTTATTGATTGCATTGAAACATTCAGAGAAACTTTATATTAAGTACACATAGTTTTGCTACACACAATGAGAAAGTGAGTCATGAATTACCAGACAAGGAAATTGTTTAATGATAAATTTTAAGAATTTTGTCAGTCAATAAAGTAGGCACACCTTAGATAATTTGTTTAGTGTGTTATTTAAGTTAAAAGTACACAAACAAATTTTTGGCAAAATATTCAGAGGTTTATATCAGGTCTGGATTTGAGTTAAAGGAAAATATAATTACCATTCAAGTTTGCAATTCTATCATTTGTATTTCATTGCTGAATGCTGAAGCAGGTTACCCATAGCCAGATTATACAGGCTCCTTACAGTTTTAAACACTTGAATTTAATTGCTTTGTCCTTCTACTGTATACTAATGAAAAAAACTAGTTCATGTCTCAAACTAACATTGTAGTGTTATTAGCACATTTTAAAATGTATTTAAGAAGCTATTCATATTACTGACATTATTAATGAACAACATAAGTTGAGAAACTTACTCACAAAGGACATCACTTATCATACAGTAATCTTCACATTGTTGGAAAAAACTTACCGACACCCTTTTATCCTTTACCATAAAGTACAATTTCCACTCAATTTTATCTTCTCAAATGTTTAATATTACACTTAAGAATTTAATGTACTAAATAAACTTTTATACATAACCTATAGTTATCAAAGACTTGAATTTACAGCTGTAGAATACTTTCCTTATCAATAAAAGAAAAAGAACATGAACTTACAAAAAAAAATCTCTTCTTATTAATCTGGTTTTTATTTTTTTAGGAGGTTACGTATTATTTGGATGTTAGACTTTTTAATTTACATTTTTAAAAGGCTTTGATATGGTGCCATACAAAATATTACCTACAAAAATCACACCAGTAAATTGGATAATGGGAAAGCAAAAGCTGTTATTATTGGGGTACAGTTAAAGGGGAACCTTGTTACTAATGGAGTGCCTGAGAGGTCAATGCTCTGGCCTTTGCTTTTTCTTGTTTACACTAATGACACTGATACTGGTATAATTAGTAAATGATAAAGTGTGTGGATGACATTAAACTCTTAGGTATTTCTAGCTGTGTTGAAGATGTTGAGACATTACAGAATGATTTGGATAAATTGGTTAATTTGATAAATATTTGGCAAATGACCTTGAATTATAGTAAGTGTTTGATAATGCATTTGGACTCTCATAATTTGGATTACATGTTTAATACAGTTAGATGAAAACCCTCTTAATAGAATGGCTGAAGAAAAGGAACTTACCATAGTGATGGATAAGTCACTCAAGTGACTGAGACTGAGTTTTAGGGTGTATTTATAGACACTGATTATAAGTAAAAAGAGGTACTTTTCTCTATATAGGTTGCTAGTTAGGCCTCATTTGGAATACTGTGTACAAATTTGGTCTTATCTAAGAAAGGATATTGATTTAATGAAAAAGGTTTAGAAGAATGAGTTACTGGGATGATTCTGGGGATGTTGGGTTATCTTATGGGAGGATACAGTGTACTTCAAAATCTTTCAATCAAATTTACATGGACTGACCCCATATTGGAGAAGGAAGATTGCCTATAAATCAGAATCTACCATGTGCATCTACACAAAATGTGGCTTGTTTTTAGTGAAATGTATAAGTTTGTTTTACACAGAAATCAGATGAATTACAAAGATGTTTTCACTCAAGATATGTCTTTGAATTGACAATTTCAGTCTGATTCAGATGCTGACAAGTAGGAGTGCAAGGTGATATTGTGTGAAGAAAGGGATACTTTTGTCCATCACATATTGTATTTGCATAACTTCTAGAACCTCAGAATGCATATCCACAGTTCCTTTTCAGTATCCCTGTATATTGTATATGTTATTTACTTTCCTCTTCCATGAACTGTTGCTGAATCGGCAATGTAGTGTAAAATGAATAATTGATAACTCTGACATCAAGTACATAATACCTTATTCTATGGCATTCTGTAAAAGGTTGTGGCTTACCCACTTTGACATCCTACCCATGTGCATAGGGTTAATTCTTTTTATGAAGAAGAAGAGTAATAGGATGTAGGGGATAAGTTGGCTCATTGGATTGAAAAATAACTGAATGGAAGAAAGCAGTGGAGTTCAGTCATACTGGATTAATACTTCATACTTCAGGGCTTAGTGCTAAGATCTTTGCTTGTTTTGCTATACATTAATGATGTGGGTGAAGGAATGGTCAATAAGTTGCTTAAATTTGCTGATTACATTAAGGTCTTTGATGTTGCTGGCTGTGATGAGAAAGCTGCTGGTTTACAAGAAAATATATATTATTTAACAAGTTGGGTGATTAAATGCCAGATGGCTTTGAGTTGTAATAAATGCAAGGTAATGCATGTTTATTATCATAATTTTGATTGTAAGCATGTTATGGAAGAAAATGGATGTTAGTGTTGTGGTTGATCAGTCTTGTAAGCCATCCAAACAGTGTGCTATTGCTAATGGTAGGACAAATAGCATTTGATTGATTTTACTGTTGTGAGTAGCAAAGACAACTTTGGCAACTATAGAGATTACTAAGTTGGTATCTTGACCAACTGATTTATCTAGCTATTTAATCAGTCAGCTAGTGTATCAGTTTATGAAGATGCCATGACTTGTAAAGTAACCTTATATTGACAGAGAAGTATTGCATATTTACCTAGGCATTTGTTCATTGTAAATAGAATGGATTATCTAAAATTAGAATGCTACAATCTGGCTATTGATATTTCTGGATGTGTAAGCGTGTGTGAATATTTCTCTCATGTAACAGCTATCTATTTTTTATGGGTGCAATATATGTAAAAGTATAATTTTTTTCACTTGAATTATTTTTATATATGATTCATCTACAGATGTACATAATGGGGAATAATGTAAAGGGAATTGAAAGTGATGATGCATCATCTTTTTTTCATATTTAGTGAGAATGGTAGGAATAGGAGACAAATTTTTGCATAATAAGAGTTAACTTCAGCTAAGACAGTTTTACTAACAGGATGATTGACCTTTGGAGTGAGTTGCCTTCAGATTTGATAGATGCAGAAAACTTAAATGAGTTTAAGAGAAAGCTTGATTATTATTTAAATGATAAAGGCTGACTCTGAGGTTTTATTTTTACTTTAGATTCATACAGTTGATTAAACAAGACAGAAAGATGGCCAACAACAACATAGCATCAGTTGAACATCTTAAACAGTGTGTTAAGCAGAATGACCTTTGTGAAGCAGTAAAATTTTTGAGTGATGATAAGCATCTGAACTTTTATGCTGAAAAAAGTCTGGATGTTATTCCTGTAATTTTTAACTACCTTGATAAAGAAAATGACAAGTCAAGCTTCAGTTTTATCAATACATGTGAGAATGCTATGGTAGAGATTGCTAAGAGAGGTAATGCAAAAGAGCTTTTAATTGGATTTTTGGAACAAGCTGATCGATTTAAAGAGGATGTATGTTTCAGGGCACTTATTAAACCATTGCAGATTGTCTTACAGCGATTACCTGGTAAGAGAGGAAAGTCATTGGAATGGACTTTAAACATTTTGGGTGCTCATTTAGAATCTTTACCTCTGCCAAAAGACTACAATTTGGAAGGTGAAGAAAGAAAACTTCTTGATTTAGATCTGTGTGTGCAGAGAATAATCACTCAGATATCATTGTACCTACCTTTCTTTGAGCCTTTCGTGGAAGAAGTATCATTAGCAGCCGAGAAGCTGCAGCATATTAGCTACTTAGATAGAGCAATTCATCAAAGACGTATCATAACACTGTTTCTGGTGAAACTTTTACATCATCCATTAGGATATCTGGATCTTTCACACACGGAGCGAAAGGCCAAGAGCTCTTCACGTGTTTGTGCTGAAGAAATCATTGCATATATAAGTAGACTTCAGGGGAATTTCTTAAATGTTTACCATTCTCTCAGAGAACAGCAAAAGTCCAAACTGTTAGATTCTTATGATGAGCAAAATAACTCTCTGAGAGAAGCTGAGGTAGAAATGACAGTGTCTGAAATTGCTTTAGGTGTTTTTGGCTATATGATATTTGGGGAGGAAGTGAACACTAAAAATATTCCTTCTTTATACACTCATTTGTATCTTCTTGAAGAAAATGTGAACATTATCTGTGTGCTTCTTGAAAATCCCAAAGAAATGATCTATTACAAAGGGCTAATTCTAGCTCAAGTTTTGTTGGACAAGTTAAAAGTTGCTGAACTCTCTTCTAAAAATCTTGATTTAAATGACTACTTTAGAATGTCGAAAGCTCTTATAAAAGTAATGGTCTACTGTTGTGTTGAAGAGTATCGTCAACTTGCTCGAGTAGTTTTTGAAAATTATTTAAAGAAGCTTGATTTTGAAGGGAATTATAAAATGTTATTTTCACTCATTAATTCAGAAAAGCACGCAGGGGTGCAGGGTTATCTTATTGGATTATTTAAAATGAGGGTATTATTGTCATTAGAAGAAAAAAGGAAAAGTTCTCCTTTTCTTGGAGTTGGATTAAAGAAGTTTTTAAAAGTAATCACAGTCTTGCCTAAAAAAGTTGAAACAGATCTGTTAGATCACAGTGACTGTGTTGTTGCATCTCTGAATCTTCTACGTTTTTTGTTTTTGCGAGATAAAAAGATTAATAATCTTACTGGCACTTGGAGTTACCTAAATGAAGTTCAGACTGAATTCTTACAACCCTTGCGCACAGCACTTCAACTGTCTCAAGCACATTATAAGTTGAAGCTTGAGCAAATAGGAGAGAAGCAGAAGAAAACATCTGTAAGTAAAACTGTGTATGTAGAAGGTCAACCCTTACCAAATCTTCCTGCTAATGACAAGGATATATTAAAGTCTGCACTTCTGCAATTTGACTTAATAGAAAGTCTTCTAGTGAGACTGGAAGAAATTTGTGATTTATAAACTTAAAACTAGTCTTTTTCTCTGCAAAGAACAGCTTTTTGTCTTTCATTTTTATCAGTTTGACTAATTCTAGTGAAAAATAGTTTCTCATATTATATACATATTCTATAGTATTTTATATACTCATATTAAAGAAAAACAGAAGTGTAAAACCAAAACTTTTATTGTAAATATTTTATTCCCCACCACTCATGTACTTCCCTGGAAATATGCTTGTATACACTCAGTACCTTTTCTAATACACTATAGTACTGTTTTTGTATTTGTCATATTAATAAAGTTTTGCATGATCATTCCACTTGCTTCATATATGTAATGGTTACAGCATTTGATTATGTACTTTAGTGCAAGTTATAAACTGATAAATGCTTGTACTTATACAGACAAATATAAATTACTTCTCAATGAACTTGGATGTGGAAGTATGAACATAATAAATATTTCAAAACAATATAACTACAAAACATAAAATGTTTCTGTTTGAAGAAAATTCAAAGCTATTTGTGTGATACTTTTTACCATGTGGGTAAGAATATTGTGACCTGAAAAATAAAAAAAACAATTTGGTCCCAGCAAGGCCCAGTGGTTAGCGTGCTAGACTGCAAATCCAAGGATTCATGGCCAGTTGCTACAAAGCCATACTCCACGCTGTGGAGTTGTGAATGAGTTATTAAGAGTTAAAGTAAAAATCAACTATTTGGCTAGAGTAGCCAAAGACTTGGCAGTGGGTATGTTGTTGATTAGCTGCCTTCCCTCTTCCCTGTCAGTTCAAAATAAGGGATGGCTATGTACAGGTAGCCCTTGTGTAGCTTTGTGCAAATATCTGCATCAAACATGCAAGCAACAAATTATTTAAGCCTTTTTACGGATTATAGTATGTGCACTTTCAGTTTAAATACATCAAACTGTCACTTTTAGTTAGCTGGTTTAACTACTGATGACCAAGTTTACTAGACTATCTTCAATGATGTTCTAGACCAAATCCAAATATTATAACACTACAAAAAAAAAAAAGAGACACTTGGTATATTCATATACCACATATGCACTTTTGAGGATAAAAGTAATAATTGAATGTTTAAACAAGCAGCTAAGGTACATGTAGAAGGCTGTGACACTCAAAAGTTGTATACTAGTGGTTTTATTGCTTTATGTAATTCTTTACAAATATTGTAGGCCTGAATTTGACATGAAATGTTCCAAGATGAAAGTAAAAGTGGTTGCAAAATTATAATTTTTATTCGTTTTTGGTGTAAAACCAACCTTACATTAAAAAATAAAATGAAACGTCTTGTTGTTAAGAGAGAAGTCATGTGGTAACTCTTCATTTGATTTTTCTCTCAACCTTTAATTGATATCTCAATCTTGTATAGTGGTCTTGTGCCAACCACATTGGTTGCTGTTGAGACTTAAGTATTTTTTGTATTGGCAATTGTTGTGAACTGCTAACTTGAAATTATTATTACTAATTCTTACTTACTGTACATTAAAAAAATAGGCATTGTTTCTCAGATATTTGAATATTAATTATGTTTTATTTCTCAGTTATACTTGTTAAAAGAAAAACTGTTAATTTTGGAAATATGTTTTGTAAGCTTGAAGTAAAAAGAAAAAAAGTTTATTCTGCTTTCAACTCGCAGGATATTGTATTTGTAGCAAGTGTTGTATTTTTACTGCATAAAATCTGAGATTCATTAAAGGATGTATACAAGTATGTGTATGATATTAAATATTTCACCTCCACACCTCTTGTTAAACACACCTTATTTAACAAAATATTTTTAGAAAAAGTTATTACCATTGAAAATTTCATAATATAACACTGCAGGCAGGAATGTTTTAAATTAGATTTATTAATATTGCATATCCATATTGAAAGTACTACAAATAGTTATTGAAATTTCAGATTTAAGTACCCTCTGGAAAGCATATCAAACAGAAATCTAAGGCATGTGCAAGTGATGCTGTCACTTTTATAATTCAAAGTATATTGGTATAACTGTTCTGTTCTAGTAGTTTTAAAACAATCACTATTGGACAGAGTTGACCGATTAGTGGAATTTATTAATTAATCACATTCAACATAAGATTAATATTCCTGTTTTAAATATGTTTTAGTTTGTTTATTTTTTAATACATTTTCGAACTACTTTTTTATTAATTATGATAGACACCTTCAGGCCCAATTATTAGGTCATCAGGAAATTAATGTCACTTTTTTATATATGAAAAAACACGAACAATTTGTATATCAAAACAAAAAATTTATTAAATAAATAGTCTCCATTCTTATCGATGATACTTTTCCATCTTACAATCAGGTTGTTAATGCCCCAATTAAAGAAATCACTTGCCTTTGAAACAAAAAACATGTTGATGTCCTTTTAACACCTTCCATATTTGCATACGTTTTCCCATTAAGATGGTGTTGCAGCGAATAAAAAAGATGGTAATCTGATAGTGCCATATCTGGAGAATATGGTGGGTGGGGGAGAACTTCCCAACCCAACTCCATAATTTTGTGTTGCGTTAAATGTGCCACATGTGGACGTGCATTGTCGTGGAGAAGAAGAATACCTTTCCAATTTACAGTGAAGGGCTTAATTTAAACGTTCCAGTTGCTGACTATAGATCTCTGCACTGACATTTTGCTGTGGATTGAGGAATTCAAAATAAATTACTCCTTTGATGTCCCACCAAATGTAAAGCATCACTTTCTGCGGATGAAGTCCAGGTTTTGGGGTCGGAAGAGGTTTTTGTCTAGGACTGAGCCATTGTTTTTGGTGTTTAATATTTGCATAGAGAATCCATTTTCATCACTGGTGACAATTCTGTCCAAAAATGGTTCAAGCACCAGTAGAGATGAAGCAACGTTCACACGTTGAAAACGATGCTCATCGGAGAGTTTGTGAGGCACCAAAGCACCTTCTTTATGGAGTTTTCCCTTATTCCTTAGATCAGCGTTTCCCAAACTTTTTTGGCCACAGAACACTTTTCAGCTGAGAAAAAGCTTACGGAACACTGGACACGTGAAATATTGGTGTAGAGCAGGGATTCCCAACCTTTTTGTTCCTTTGTATCCCTTGGACATTCTGACAGGTTCCCATGTTTATCAGCTGATTTGTAATGAGGGCGTTCTATATTGCTTATGTTCTACATTACTTATTGAAAACGTGAGTTATACTTTAGCACAGCAGTAACATCACAACGTTCACCATGATCACAACTTTTTGTTTAAAGAGCGTATACTTGTGTGAACCACTTTGCTCTCTTTGTCTGACTGTAGAATAAAACACCATGTAAAGTGTAAATCATGGTTATACTCTCAGACCCCAATGTACCCCCTGAGAAGTGCAAATTTACCCCTGGGGGTACATGTACCCCAGGTTGGGAATGTCTGGTGTAGAGAATATGTTTTGCGCACAGGGCCCTTTAGATTTGTATATTATTCATTTAATCAAATTACATGTTAATGAATTTTTATGCTTATAATATATTTTAGGTACAAACCTCTCCACTAAGATATTATGTAGAATAGATATGGCATCTTCTGTAATTCTTCTTCAGTGTTGAATCGATATTATCTAATTCTAAAATATAGGAAAATATTTCGTATTATGTTATGATAGTATAAAAAGTGTTAAATGTTTTATTGAAATTTAAAATCATGATTTTCCCACGGAGCACCTATCAATCTTGGATTGAACACCAGTGTTCCTCGGAACATAGTTTGGGAAACGCTGAGGTACTCTAACGTGACGTTTAGGCTGTTCATTTAAGTATTATACGTGATGTACGTTTTTTTTTGGAGTAGTTAATGAAAGTACTGCAAAACGCGACATTAATTTCTTGATGACCTAATACTTAGGATTAAATTACTTTTCGATCGATCGGCAATGTAAAACATGTAATAAACTGCATATGTTATTAATACTGTACAAGTTTTCAGAAGATTTCTAAAACCACTGAATGTTTTGTAGGTGAATGACACTGATTATAAATTAGAAAAATATTAAATACAATATTCTCAAGTTTTATTTTACACATCTTTAAAAATAAGATCGCCGGTATAGTGAGTGTGCTGCATCACCAATTAGTCAGTGAAGTTGAGAAAAAGAGTGCAGGATTGTTAGGGAAAACTGAAAAGTTTATTACGAAGTAAGCACATTCTTTATTTAAAATAATTGTAGTTAAAAAGAAAAAAGTGTGGCATTGTTACCGAGAACTTTGTATGCTGTTACTAAAACTAATTCACTGTTAAAAATATTTGTCCTTTGATTTCATTCATAAAACTTGTAAACATTCTTGTCATAGTGTGTGTGTGATAGATAATATATAATTCAATGAAAACAAATCCTAGAAAAATTGAAAGTTCAGTGTTTATTTGATGCCATTAAAACTTGTGGTAATAGTAGATGTTTTTGCAGAGAATAAAATGACTAATAAGGTGGAAATTGAAGTTTTTATAAGAAATGTTAAAAACATAATACCAGAAAGTCTGATTGCAAATGCTTGGTATTTGTTTCTAATTCTATCCAGCCGGGACATTTCCTCGTCAAAAGTTGTTGCAAATACAATGACATCGTCCAGGTACACTAGAGCTATCCTCCATTGTAGGCCTTCCAATACTCGTTTCATCAGCCTCTCGATTGTTGCTGGAGCATTACTAAGCCCGAATGGCATCACTCGATATTGCCAGAGACCTTGGCCATAACTAAATGCTCTCTTGGGTCTATCTGCTTCA